CAACAGCCGTCAATACAGTGGCTGCCCAGACAGTATCCAGAGCTCTGCCCCCCAACGACGCAACTTGATCACTACAGCATCTCAAACTTGAATGGACTTCAAAAATTTATACATCCGTCGAGGTGGTAAACAACAGTTATAAGTACAAGAGGTAAATGAGAGGTAGTGTCCATATGAATCGCGAGTAAAAATGAAAGGCATTGCAAGTTTCCTCCTTGCTTCTACTGGCTAGCTAGTAAATTTTGGTAGAGCGCGCAAGGTACCGCTTTGCCATTCGCCTTTTTCCGTCCCAGCTTAGACCCAGTAGTTGAGAGCGCGACCGACGATGCGGGACTTGATGGGGCGCTTTCCAGCCGGGGCCGACCCGCCAGTGACAGCGTTGACGGTAGAGTTGGTCGTGGCGGTGGTGCCAGTGGTGCCTCCAGAAGCGTCGGTGACTGTATAAGAGATATTAGTTTCAGTCGTTCATCCTGTTACTGGTCCAAGTACTGACCAGCAACACATCCACCAAAGGGACCTGCAAGAGCGTTATTTCGGCAACGGACGAGGCATGCGGTTCCAGTGCTGCCACCGGAGCAGGTTGTGCCGCTGTAGAAGGGTATCGCTGTCAGAAACTGTGAAGATATCTGAGAGAGCAGGCAAAAACTCACGCAGGAGCGGTGGCGACGAGGTTAAAGTCGGTTGCCTTGGCGGTGGACAGCGACAGGAAGCCAGGGACATTCTGAGTGACGTCCATCTTTACAAAGTTTGCGCCAGTGCCATCAGTCGAGATTTCGCAGGTGTAGGGACTATTGGAGGCCATGTCAGTTGATGAGGAAGCTAACAAGGAAGAGGTACGCACCCAGCACCATCTTGGTTGACCTGGTGGAGGACCATGTTCACAGTTCCAGAGGCATCCATCGATGGGAGACCGGCAGTCTCGGCAGCTGCATCGAGAGGAAAGCATGGTGAATGAGGGTATCTTAGCCTGGAGATATAACACTTACCAGCAAGTTGCGTAGCGACATCGTTATTGCCACCAGCCTTTGTGCTACCGCACACGTCGGTCTTGCCAGTCTTGATCGCGTTATCACGGATGACCGATGTGTCTTGCTCGAATGGATTGGGGGAAGAACCCGTTCGGGGAGTGGAAGCGAGGATACCAAATCCAGCGGCGTTGATACCATTAGCGCCTTTGACTTGGGTGAGGGCACCGTGGCCAGCCACGAGACGGAAGGAGAGGAAGGCGAGAGCGATCGAAGTGAATGAGGAGGCACGCATGATGATGGTTATGAAAGGGGTTGGAAAAAGAAGAAACAAGTGATGAATCGACCGGCGATGAGAAGAGAAGGGGTGACCAGCACAAGAGGAAGAAGAGTGTGGAAGGTTGTGTTGTAGAGACTGGAGACTCGAGCCGTCGTCCTTTTATACCGTAAAGTGCTTCATGGACCTCTCGATCTGGCAGTCGTCTCGACAAGTGATTGAATCAAGGCAGTGCTTTTTGAAATGTCGACGACGAGGGGGAAGCTCTTTACGATCGAAGCATGAAGGCTAGTTTGTCGCAGAGCTAACAATTGCCGACTGCCAAGCCACTTTACAGAAAAGCTTTACGAGAAGTGTTTCTGAATTGAGGCGGTGCACTCGAATGACTACCAGAGGGGGTATTGCGTTATGCGAAGCCTCGTCGCAAAGGATGCCAATGGGAGTCGGATGCGGGGGGACGGAAGGAAGCTCACGGAAGCGACGGGAGCGCCGTCGGATGCTGTATGCTGCTCGGGCACTGAAGATCCTATGAACAAATGACACTCGTGTTGGCATGCACATTGCAGCCGCCATTTGCACAGCCTGTCGACAAGGGTGATACGGGAGCAATCACATCAGAGCACAACGCAGTCGTTTTTGCTGCAGGTGCGAGGACGCTTGGGCCAGATACATGTCTCACTTGGTCAAGCCAAAGAGTCACCCGAGGACAAGTACTATAGTTCTGATGGAGGATTATCAATTTTGATCGAGGAATACTTCTCGGACCCCGGTTGTGAGCTTGTGTGAAGCATCCCGCACTGTGGCGTCGTTGGGATACCAGAAGCGTCCGTTGACTGATCGAAGGGTCGGCCGGCACCGATAATAGAAGAGGATCAGTACTAGTCGGAAAGGAAGTCGTCGTAAACGAAGCCGTAAACGAGGTTGTAGAGAGGTTCTTGGGAAGGCGTACAATGACAGGAGAGATGATACAAAGTGGCCGCTCTTTGGCCAGCTTGGCGACGTGTTACGTCCATTATAGTACGTACGAGTAGTCGACCGTCTAGCGCAGAATGTACTCGCTAGCAGTGGTTCAACACATGTTGCATTGCGGCAAAGCAGTCATTTCGCTTCTTTGCGGGCGTGTATGGCACAGTGCGGGCAGGTATATGCAGATCAATGGCATCGACCAAAAATGAAGCAGATCAGTGGGAGAAATGTGCCACCAGGACAACAGACGAGGTAGAATTGGAATTAACAGGTGGTTTGGTTCGATGCAATGAAAGGGTGTGGGCGGTGGTTGTTATGGTTTGTTGGGATTCACTTCGGCCCCGCTAGAGAGCCATTCACTCGGGATCGTCCTCTGGTAGCTGCCAAGAGGTTACTCAGAAGGAGCGCTTCCTTGTGTTCCCTAGGAGCGGGTATTAATAAATCTCGGAGGACTATGATGATGAAAGCGGACAGGCGCTCCACTGTTGATGAAATGCACCTCGTCTGATGGTGAAGATTTGGGAGCCCAACTGCTACAGTCGGGAATTAGCGCACCTAAATTACAGGAAAAGTTTGAGCCCAGAGGCCGAGGCGTGAGTAGGCCGGGAAGTCTGAGATGAAACGTCCGATGGGCTGCAAAGATCCCGGCTCGCTTCTCTTTAGTGCGGGAGTCGCGAGCCAAGTGTCGGGTTCATGAGTTCGTTTAGGAGAGTGATCGCCGTTTGAGAGCTCACGGTCTGACAAAGAGACGGCCGTCGCAAGCCGTGTTACTTGAGTTTGGCGACATGGACTTTGTTGAGAGCTTTCATGTATCGTATCCATCTCACGAGATGTCTGCCTCTCAAGGCTCTGAGATCCGCAAGCTGGACGCTGGAAAGGTCATTTATGATTTGATAGATTGAAGACGCTAGCGCAGAAAGGGCCGTCACTCTTGGGTAAGATCGATATGGAACCAGGGCTCTATGGGTGATTAGTACAGGCGTCGGACCGGCTACTCCACCCAAACTCTGACACGGCGAAACATCTCGGAAGAGTATGGCCAGGAATTGCAACTGGCTTTGTGTTGGAGTGCGGTCTGCCCACCTAGCGCTCAATAAAATTCTGCAGAACATGGAACATCTGTTACATTGATCTTGACAATCGAGACATCGTATAGAAGCTATTCCTCTGTGGTAAGTTGGACTCCTAAGCCGGGTGATTTTACGCCAAGATAAGGGAAGGCTATTGTATTAAAGCAATGCTTTTAATTTTAGCTCTGTGGGGTTCAAGAACAATACTGTGTGCTATCTGCAAACCATCGGGGCTGCTGTGCCGAGTCGTGAGGTTGGTTGAGGGAGGCCATTGGTAGAAGTCTTTCTAGCCTGTTGTATCCGTATAATTGAGACGGAAAACGGAAATCAGCATTTACAGTGTCCTTTAATCAAATCAATAATCGAATGCTCATGAGAGGATGTGAGGGAAGGTCGTCGCAAGGTTGTTGTCTTTTATTGTGGTACATCCCCTCCTCGTACCCCGCCTCTACCAGTCGTTGTGTAAGCGTGGGACCTATAGGATAGCTGAAATGAAATGCACCACGAACATGTCACGAAGGACTGTGGGAGAGATTAATTGGCGGCTGGTCAGAGGTCTCACGGCCAAAAGTTGGACCAAACCCCGTCCAAAAGACTGCCTCCACGCAAAAAGGTATGACCCCCGTGTGACTTGAACACACAGCCTCCTGATAATTTCCTTTTTTGGAATCAGACGCGCTAGCCAATTGCGTCCAGGTGAGTCTAAGGGCGGGGAGCAGGGAGTCATTGTTGGAGGATCTCTAGGTTGTAACGTGGC